GCAGGTCGAGGCTGCGGTGGCAGGGAGCGGCCACTGCACTCCAGTCTGGGCGATGGAGTGAGACTCCAACTCAAAAAATAAACAACAACAACAAAAAAGTAATCACACATAAAGAGACCCCCTAAACAATTCTCCAGTACTTGGAGTGACACCCCTAGGATGAATAGAGTCGGCTGTGTGTGTGCGACTGGGAGTGGTTGAACGTGGATACCCCCAAGAAAGCTTGAGCTTGAGTTTCTAAAAGCAGAAGAAATAATTAGGCAAGACAAGTTTTGGGGTTTGGATCCAAGGAAGCTATCCGGATCATTTCTATTTCAAGTCCTAACTGAAAGCTGCATTGCAAACGGTTCATCTTAATGTCATCACAATAAACTACTGGATCTTAACACCGACTGACACAATGTTCAAAACTTTTTTCACACTATTTTTTTGTGACAATCAACTGAACAATTTTAAAGCTATCTGAAATGAGGATACACATTACTCTTTTTTCTGTGTGCTAACAAAAATAGATCACATTGTATCGTATCAACTCATCACCTCCCTTGTCCATGTAACTCTTGGTGTCTAGTCACAAGATTACTCTTCTGTAACATGACTGCTAAAGAATAAATTCTATTTCACTGCACAAATATGTAACCTTAACAAGAGCAAGTAATGCGTATTAGCACTGGTCAAGTGATTTACATGTATCACTCCATTTAATTTTTTTTTAAAGTTGGAGTCTCACTCTTGTCGCCCAGGCTGGAGTGCAGTAGCACACTGCTCATGGCCACCGCGGCCTTGACTTGCTGGGCTCAGGTGATCCTTCCACCTCAGCCTTCCAAGTAGCTGGAACTACAGAATGCATGCCACCATGCCCAGCTAGGTTTTGTGATTTATTGTAGAGATGAGGGCTCACCAAGTTGTCCAAGCTGGTCTCAAACCCCCGGACTCAGGCAATCTTCTGGCCTTGGCCTCCCAAAGTGCTGGGATTACAGGCTGAGCCACTGTGCCCAGCCAATCCATTTAATTTTAATAACTGAATGTTGTAGGTCCTATTACTATCCCCATTTTACAGATGAGGAGATCTGAAGCCCAAGGGTGACATTTTATTGAACTAGTTTCCTATCTGTGACCTGTATTGAGTTTATTTCCATGATCTTTTTTCACCAAAGGGTGCTCTGATAAATGCCTTTCCCATTCACTTCCACCCTCCCTCAACAGAGCCCCACCCTTTCAAATGAACATGAACATGATGGGAAGACATCACATGCCTGATTTACTCTCTTGCTGTTGGAATTCTTTTTTTTTCTGAGTCAGAATCTCACTGTTGCCTAGGCTAGAGTGTAATGACCACGCACACGGCCACCGCAGCCTCAAGCTGGGCTCAGGCGATCCTCCCACTTCAGTCTTCCAAGTAGCTGGGACTACAGGCACGTGCCACCACGCCTGATTAATTTTTTGATTTATTGCAGAGATGAGGTCTCATCAAGTTGCCCAGGCTAGTCTCGAACCCCTGGACTCAAGCAATCCTCTTGCCTTGGCCTCCCAAAGTGCTGGGATTACAGGCTTGAGCCACCCTGCCTGGCCCGAAATTAATTCTTTAGTTGTTGTTACCATATTCATATATTAAAATTTCAAAAAGTATTACTTTTTTTTTGTGTTGGAGTCTCACTCTGTCGCCCAGACTGGAGTGCAGTAGCACACTCCTGGCCACCACAGTCTCGATCTGCTGGGCTCCGACAATCCTTCCAAGTAGCTGGACAGGCATGTGCTACCACGCCTGGCTAATTTTTTTGATTTATTGTAGAGATGAGGTCTCGCCAAGTTGTCTGGGTAGGTCTCGAACCCGCGGGCTCAGGCAATTCACTCGCCTCAGCCTCCCAAAGTGCTGGGATTACAGGTTGAGCCACCAAGCCCGGTCTCAAAAATTATTCTTAAAACCTCATCCTACAAGGCTATAAGATACTAGATAAAACAATCTAGCACCGGGCTCGGTGGCTCAACCTGTAATCCTGCACTTTGGAAGGCTGAGGTGAGTGGATTGCCTGAGCCCACGGGTTCGAGACCCGCCTGGGCAACTTGGCG